AAAAACCCAGACATATTTTGCACCATCATTATCTTTTGAACGATAACGCACTTGATTTGGCGGCGGTCCCAATGAGTCGTACTCAGTCAAAACTTCAATTCGAGAATAACGCGAAAAACAGTTTTGCTTAATAAAACACTGTAGATTTGCTGCATTATTATAAATATACACTAAAAATGGCCAAACATATTAACCTCTGATATCATAGAACTCACAAAGAGTGTCAGATAATGAATAATTTCAAGCTCGAGCGTGAAAAATGAAGAAAACTGCTGGCATTTGAGTCCGTACTCCAGGAACGTTCGGGTTTCCATTGTTATGCAAACGAACAACGAGGGATAATCCTCTGACAAACATTATTGTCCCACTGTACACGCTGACAGTTTACAAACAAACTAATCCTTCAAGTGTCTCTGATAAGAGATCTAATAGAACGGTTTTCATGATGAAACAAAATGGCCGATGTTTGAAAAAAAAATTGCTGTTTCGTCTGTCAACGCTTTCTTTTCTTCGCCATTGCGTTAGAAAAAATATCAGTAAAATAGAATATTGAATTAAAAAACAAAACGATTTAAAAGAAAGTTGCGCAAAGTTACAGTACTTATTTCGCACAACCTCCCGCCTGCTTCCGCTTTCCAATCACTTTTTTTTCTCGCTTTTGCGACCGCTTGTTGAATTCGACCGGACAATTTCCGCTTTATTTTCGACCGCGCAAACCCCGAAATATCACCGCTCGGCCGCCTGCTCGCGCGCATTTAAAATTCGGATTAATAGAAAAATTTCAGAGGTTCACATTGTCTTATAATTGTCTTTCTGGTTTTTATGAATGTTGAACAGCTGACAACAGTTCAAATACTTTTTCTTTAAACTATCTATAATTATATGCACGCAATCTGACCCTTTGACCTCGATTTGGCTTGGACTGAATATTTTATTTTAAACAATATTCTGATGTGAAATACAAGTTGTATTTCAACACAAGTACAACATGGTTGTCTGGGTTTTCTTTCCTGATTGTTGAGTCTTCGCAATGTGTTTTGTATAATTATTGTTGTTTTCCCCGAGGCAAAGACAAGCTGAAGGACCATGAAGCTAAATGGCAGTCCAGGCATGAGATGAGTGAAAGGAAATATTTCTAAGCCTAAAATAAAACCTGAATATTACACCTCTTTGTGTATTTGTTAATTTTACATATGTTTTACATGTCAGTATGTCTGTAAATATCTAGAAAAATGTCGTTTTTTGTTGATAATTTCGATTGTTTGGAATATCTGTCGACAGCGTCCCAATAATTTGTTTGGAATGTCGACCCCAGTTGGTTTCTCCATACTGAGTTTAGGAAGGGCGTCGATCAACACAATCAGCCGAGACAGGACAAACATTGACCGTAATTCATGTGGATCATGTTCGTAATTTGTGGGCTGAAACCCCAAATAATTAAACAAGTATTATTATTATAATATATATTTTATTTTACATCGCAAAACTACAACAGAGCTAGAGTTGTTCACGGTGAAACAGCCGCATTGAAGACGATGCAACTTCAACTAGCCATTTCTTAACTGTGGGTGTGGTTCTTTTGCGAGGTCCTGTTGATAATACGGACAAATATGGTTCTGTGACCCAGGTCGTGCTCCGATCATGTGACTTTCAGCCAATCAAAGATGTTGTAACAAAGTATATTTGACGCTAATTGAAGGGTCATCGTACCATCCAATTTCCGGCGTCGATTCATATAGTGTTTTTGTGCTGTGACAGGCTTCAAAATTATTCGCTGAAAAACATCGGTATATTTTGACAAACGGATGGAATTTGTCCTCAGTTCAAAAAGAAAATACTAGGCTTAGATACATTAGAGTCCACGGCAAATCAGTTTTTTCTGCAAGTTGGGAAATAAAGCAAACCAGAGTAAGGTCGATGATTTTCAGCCCTGAAGGACTTCCGTGTGAATCCTGAGTTTCGAATTGTTCATCGACTGGCTACCAAATATTTTTTTTTTAAGCCCAATAAATTATTCATACATGTCAAGCTCTGTTCGATTTTTTCAGGGCATGTGGCCGTTTTTAGTCGAAAGTATTTTTTGTGGGAACACTTTTAACGGTACATATACAGTACAGACTGAACTCATTCAATGATCGTGACTTATTTTTGAAAATTGAATGTCAAATTTTACCAGACCGGCCGACGTGGATTTGGTATCGTTATTTTTGGTATCGTTTCTCTGCTCTGTCAAAATGAGTTACCTATGCTTTCTTCACGTAACTGTCTCATTAAAATAACAAGCAGCCTGTCGGCTGAGATAGCTCCGCTGTTAGCAATGCACATGGCAATTAAAGAACAGAAGATATCATTAGAAAATGAACAAATCTGAGAGAGGTCCACATGTAGTACCTATATGTATAATATATCAAAGCAATTGGACTTGCGGTTTTCAACAAGAAGTCGAAAATATCACTTTTTACCAAAAATTACAAAAATATTCATCAAAATTAAAGAATTAGAGATATCATTATGAAATGAACAAATCTGAGAGAGGTCCACATGTAGTACCTATATATGTAATATCAAAGCAATTGGACTTGCGGTTTTCAACAAGAAGTCGAAAATATCACTTTTTACCAAAAATTACAAAAATATTCACCGAAATTAGAGAATTAAAGATATCATTACAAAATGAACAAATCTGAGAGAGGTCCACATGTAGTACCTATATATGTAATATCAAAGCAATTGGACTTGCGGTTTTCAACAAGAAGTCGAAAATATCACTTTTTACCAAAAATGACAAAAATATTCACCAAAATTAGAGAATTAAAGATATCATTACAAAATGAACAAATCTGAGAGAGGTCCACATGTAGTACCTATATATGTAATATCAAAG